TATTTTAATTGCATAGATGTTGGGAAACCTGCATTTTTGTGCACTATCAGTGTACATGCCAACTGGTATAACTCTTTGGCTGACAATTATCTTTCAAAATTATAAATGCTCATGCCTTTTGACCCAAGAAGTCTACTTTCAGGAAAGTGTGTGTATCTGGACATGTGGAAAAATATGGCAACATGAGAAAATTTATTGTTGCATTTAATGTAGTGACGAAGGTGTCTAAAATCCAAGTGCCCACTGATACGGAACTGGCTAAACAAAGTATGGTATTCTGTACAATGGATTCCAGAAGCCACTTAAAACAACATGGGCAATGTGGAGTATCTTCAGTATATATCACTATGTGGGGAAAAACAGGTGTGAAATAGGAAATGCCCTGTGCTATGATTTTATGAAACAACAAAGATTTATCTCTGTACATATGTGTGTATGCAAATTCTTATGTATGTACACATGTATGTGTTTATGCAGCTTCTTCATTAACATGGTAAGAGGGGGCTCCAGGGAAGGAGAAAGAATCATTTTCTGTATCTACCACTTTGGTCTGTTTGATTTTTACGCCATATGTATTTATCATATTTATTATCAAAAACAAATCCCCTTTTTAAAGGGATGTTTTGGGGGCGGGATGGCAGACGTTTTGTTTTACAAGCAAAGGAAAGACATGACAGGGTCTATTCCACAGCAGCTGGTTTGGAACGTTGCACTATAGGCAACATGACAGAAAGCACAACACAGCAGTGATAGAAAGTAGGGAACACAGCCAGGGTCAGGGTGGGGAAGCAAACGGGGGCAAACCCAGCATTTTCACTCCATTTCTGAATTTGTAATTTAGATCCGCCATTGTGAGAACAACTCTCTGAGTCTATCTCTCCACTTTTCACAGTAGTGGAATGGATACTGCAAATAAAACTGGTGGGTCATTCATTCATTTGTTCAATCAGCATATATGTACTTCAACTTGAGTTCTAGGATACTAAGGAAAAAAACATTTCAACTGTTGCTAACTCAGCCCTGAGCAAAATGAGGAAGGGACATCTAGAAATTCTCAGAGGGAACATCCTGGCTGGGTGGTCCAGGCTACAGCTTCTGAGATCTGACTGTCCTAGGAAATCTGTTGCCATAAATATTATTCAGCTAGAAGAGAGTCAGCTTGGGGACCTAACTGAGTTTGAGGAGTTGCATTGAAGCTGAGACCCAATGGATCAGCAGGGCATGACATCTGTGAATATTGAAAGCAGAGGGCAGCTCGGGCTGGATGGGACAGAGAGAGGACCAGGAGGATTGGAGAAAGATGGGCGTTGGGGACAGAGGTGCCTGTGGAGAAGGGAGATGCAGTTTGCTGTTTGCTGTGTCTACAGTAAGTGGGGAGGTGGGGAGTCAGAGTTATGTTGGAAAAGTTACATCTTTACAAAGAGAGCTAAGATGAAAACCATCTCATTGGCTGTGATGTAGAGAATGGATACAGGCTGAGGAAAGTGGATTTGGGAGAATGGCTGGGAAGCCACTCCTAGTGGAGAAAGAGGGTGGATTAAGTTGATGGAAGTGGAGATAAAGGGAACAGATATTTTATGAACAATTCCTAGGCACTAGGAACCAACCTCCTGTAGCAAGACTGGGAAGAGGGATGAGTCCAGAAAGACTCAGAAGTTTCTAGCTTGAGCAACTGGGGGATTTTGGATTTTTTTTTTTTTTTTACTGAATTGCAAAACTCAGAAAGGAGTCAGTTTAAGGGAGGAAGATGACTGTTCAGTTTGGGGCAGAATGAGTGTGCAGTGCCCATGAGACTGTGCAAGTGCAGTGTCCTCTTCTCAACCCTGTGGCCCAATCGGGACCTTCCATCCACCAGCCCTTTCATCTTTTCAATGTCTTTTGTTTGCTCTTGAGCTTCTGAAGGACTTTATTAGATGCCATGGACCACTATTAAAATCCCACCCTTGCATAAGCATTCCATCTTTTTTGGCTTTCTTTTGTTCACTGTGCTTACCCAGGATTAATGGCTAAATTGTGTCCTCCCCAAATTCTTATGCTGAAATCTTAACCCTAGTGTCTCAGAATGTGACTGTATTTAATTATCTTTAAAGAGGTAATTGAAGTGAAATCATTAATGTGGACCCAAATCCAATACAACTGATGTCTTTCTAAGAAGAGGAAATAGGTCAAAGAACTTGTGAGGACCCAGGGAAAGGGGGCACCTACAACCCACAAAATGGCCTCAGAAGGAACAAACCGTGCCAACCCTTTAACCTTGGACTTCCAGTTTCTAGACATATAAGACCCTCAATTTCTGTTCTTTAAGTCACTCATTGTGTAGTATTCTGTTATGGCTGAAAAGTACTGTAGTACTTTGAACTGCTGACCACTTGATGGCACCCTGAGAATTTTTTGCTTCCCCAGAACATTTGCTCCCCAAGTTTCTTTTCAGTTTTACCAATGTCCCACCCAGATGCAAAACATGACTTTCTTCTCATTTCACGGAGAGACAATCAGAAGAGAATGTTCTCTTGTCTCCAGCACCAAATCCACTAACTTCCCAACCCCTAAGGTTCTCCACCTCTTTTCTGTGAGGTGGCAGAGGTCCTATTCACACCCTCCCCTGGGTGTGATTCCTTTCCCCTGTATTCCAGGTTCTGATCTAGAAACTTCCTCCTCCCCCTACTGTCAATTTTTGTATAGTGAGTCATCATGTGATCCTACAAGCCTCACAGAACAAAGTGTGGTGTCCTCTCCTGACTCCCCAGTATTTTCCAGTGATGTCCTGCTCTATTCCTTCTGAACACACACGCATACACAAACACCCCTAACTTACAGATTCCATGTTCCCATATCTCTTGAATGTACTCTAGCGGTCTATATCCTTCTCATTCCTCTAAAATGATTCCTCTTGTCACTGTCACCAAGAACTTCAAAGTTGCTCTCCTCTCATCTCAGTGGTTGACCTTCCCAGGTCTGTTTTCCAACTTGTCCTTCTGATCTCCGCTATAGGAAGAAGACTCTACACAGTCCTAGGACTGAGTCTCTGGAGCCGTCCCCTTCGGTCTGAGCACACTGTCTCTAGATGATTTTATTATACACCCTCTTGGCTTTAAAGGCCATATGCTGCCAGACGTAGTGGATCACACCTGTACTGGCAGCTACTCAAGAGGGTAAGATCAGATGGGTAGCTGTTTGAGGACAGCCCAGCACCCCTCCAAGCTGAGTTTGGTGATGTGTATCTGTCATCTCAACTACACAGACATAGGTAGGAAGATTGGAGTCCTAGATCAGCAAAAATTTGACCTTATTTGAAGAATCAATAAAGCGAAAAACAAGAAAGGGGGCATGGTTCTAGTGCTAGAGTGTGAGGCACTGAGTTCAAATCCAATACTGCCAAAAGAAAGAAAGAAGGAAAAACAAAAGAAAGTGTGTTAAAGTCTCCCTATTAATGTCTACAGCATGGTTCTAGTGCTAGAGTGTGAGGCACTGAGTTCAAATCCAATACTGCCAAAAGAAAGAAAAAAGGAAAAACAAAAGAAAGTGTGTTAAAGTCTCCCTATTAATGTCTACAGCACCAATCCCTCGCCCAGAGTCTGGATGTTCTACTCAGTTGGCTACTTGATGTCTCCTCCTGGGGGTCTAATAGGCATGTCAAAGTTACTATGTATAAACAAAATTCTCCTTTCATGCCTTTTCCCCCAGACCAAACCTACTTCACCACAGTTTTCCTATCTCTAAACATAGCAGTACTGTCCTTCCTTTGGTCCATACTCAGACCAAAAATTCTGGAATCATCTTTGACTCCTCTTTTGCAAACCCCCACATCCAACTCATCACCAACTCCTGTTGCCTCTGCTTTCATGCTATATCCAGAATCTGATTTGCTTTTTCTTTTCCCCTTTGCTACCACTCTCTAGATCCAAATCATCATGACTGCTCTCCTTCTTCCCATCCTTGACCTTTCCAACCTATTCTCAATATCAAAGCCAGACTGAACCTTTACCTTGCTATGGCAGACCAAGTCACTCAGTGACCTTGAGTGGGTTAAAAGTAAAATGCAGTCTAAGTAGTCTTCATCTTGTGCCACAGAGCCACAAATGATCTGGCCTCTTGCTACCCTCTGAGCTTCTCTCCTACTCTCTCTCCTGTAATCCTCTGATTCTGGCTACAATGGTCTTCTTGGAATAGGCTAAGGGCTTTTCTTCCTCTTAGCATTTGCATCTTCTATTCCTTATGCCTGGGAAACGATTTCCCCACGGAAATCCTGTTGCATGACTTAAGTCTCTGCTTAGCGGTCACAGATGTCCTCTTGAGAAAGAAGAGGCAGGAAAAGCCCCTTGATAGTTTTGAACTCCCATTTGGGGTGCAGTGGTGCTGCATGCCAGGCACTGTTTCAAACACTTGCACATACTATAAAATTGCCTTTCCTCAACAGCCCTACGGAGCAGGAAGAAATGGCTTACATGTTTTGACCATTTACTATGGCATTGCGCTAAACACCTCCTTCTAACTGACTTGTTGAAGGAGGACTTTCTGCTATTTTCCGCTTCGCTTATGAAGCACAGAGGTTAAATAACTTGCGCCAGTCATCTAGCCAGGGTTGGGTTTGAACCCTGAGCTTAGTCATTGATGATGCTTGAGAGAAAGAATCAGACTTAACAATAAGACTTTAAAGGTGGTCGAGCGGACAGTTGTCTAAGCTAAGGTGTATACATTCATTCCCAGGCAGGTGGCATTGTGTAAGCACAAGTACAGTGTTGGTCAGCCTTGTCGCTTTCCAGGAAATGCACGTGGCTCAGGTGTTGAGTGCAAGGTGATGGAGACATTGGTGGGGAATAAAAGACCATGCTGTCTGTTACTTGTGCACCTGCAAAGGGTTAAGGTGACCGTTTCTCTCTGGAGATGGAGAATCGGGTCCACCTGCTCGGGAGCACGGAAGTGAGCAGCTAGAGGGATTGTTGTCTTTTCGGTCCTTTAAACCCTTATTTGTTCAGCCACCCATGGACTGTGCAGCAGGGAGTTGGGGGTGGGAAGGGAAACAGATAAAAGGCAAGTGAAAGAAAGGGGGAGGTGCAGCTTCTGAACAGTCAGCGCTCTTTTTCTTCCTGCCTAGCCTCCAGCTGACCTCTCCAATTTAGCCCAACCGATCCGATCCTGCATTCAGCCCATGGCCAACTGTGAATTCAGTCCCGTGTCTGGGGACAAACGTTGCTGTCGGATCTCTAGGAGAAGCCAGATCGGTCTTGGAGTGGGTCTCCTGGTTCTGATCCTCTTGGTGGTGACGGTGGTCGGAGTCCTGAAGTGGCACCAACAGAGCCAACCACCCGAGCAATTGAAGTGGAATGGGACGGGCACTTCCAAACACTTCTCTGAGATCGCCCTGGGACGATGTTACATCTATACTCAATTCATCCGGCCCGAGCTGAGGTGAGTCGGCGTCTGGGCACCGCGGTGCAGCACAGCTGGCGACTGCGCGCGGGGGAGTGCGGGCCGGTCGCCCCAAACAAAGCTCTTCTGTTGCGGATCAGCTGAGAGCGCGCTCGGCAGTGCCGAGTTGATTTCGGCCGGGCGGACGGCTCCGCGCGCCACTGGCCAGAGCCGGTGACCTTGGCCTTGAGCGCGCTAGCCGCGGAGGGGACGCTGCGCCCGCCCGCCCAGCCCAGAGCGCTGGTGAGCGCGTGTCCGCGATGCCCGCCTCCCCTGCAAGGGGTCCTAAGCGCGGCACACCCCGGGTCCCAGCCCCGCTGGAGGGACAGAAAATTACTAGCAAGCGCAGGGAGTTGTTGACATTTTCATCTCGGCTTGGAGTTTCCGTCCGCCCTCGCTAAGTGGCCCGGGAACCGTTACAGATGACACCAGGTTGAGTGGTTTGCGGAGCCTGCGGTGGGGGCGGGGAGGAGGGCGTCAGAAAAAGCCAAACCACTGAAAGTAGTTTCATTCATTCACATAAAACAGTACCCCGATTCTTCTTGCGCGCCCCGAAATGCAAGTGACCCTTAGTGAAACAAAACCAACTTTTAAAATCCAGGTATTACTAACCAGGGAAGGCGCGTCCTCCGGGTGAATTCGTTCAGCTTGGAAACGCCACCCGTCAATCTCGCGCCTGCCCGCTCCTAACCTCCCCGAAGGGAAGCGCCCTTCCCGCTTGGCTTCCCAGGGCTCGCTCGTGCTGTAGAGCTCCCTGTTGGAATTGCGAGAGAGGCCGAACAGGCCGTGGAAAGCGTGCGGGGACGCTGCGAGCTCCCGCCCTGTGCTCGCGGAGCGCCCATGCCGCGTCCCAGACCCGCACCCAGCAGAAGAGCTCCAAGGCGCTTCCCGCGCTCCGCCGTCCCGAGGCCCCGCACGCCCGGTCGCACTTGCAAATTGTTCCCGCTGAAAGATTGCCCAGGGCCGCGGTAAGTGTTTTGTTTACAGGTAATTGAATGCTTAATCGAAAGAGAAACTAGAAGTGGAGGGATCCTTCAGACGGCTTCACAGTGTCAGTGAAAGCAAAGCAAGTCCAGTCTGAGATGACTCGTTTAAGTTTTATTGGTGGCTGTTCAATCCCTTGTGGTGAGCGCATCACATAGCAAGCTAGGTGCTCAGAAACTGCACAGCTGTTCATGTTTGTCAGGGGGACCGTTGGTATTAAACACGTGTGTGAACATACGTCTATGTGATTTCTTCTACATATCTTCAACATAATCATGTGTGTATATTCAGCAAATATTAATAAATTAATTTTTATTTAAATAATCACCGTTAAAATGAATGGGATACAGTCTGCTAATATTTTGGTGGACGTTTTTATAGATGTACACACACACACACACACACACACACACACACACTTTATGTAAATGGGTTAGCAATAATATGATGCTTACTGTGTGCCAGGCACTTCAAAAATATGGAATCACTTAGTCCTTCAACTACCATATGGGAGGATTAGAGATGTGGCTCAAGTGCCTGCTTTGCAAGCTTGAAGCCCTGAGTTCCAACCCTAGTCCCATCCAAAAAAAAAAAAAAAAAAGACAAAAACAACTTTGTGGGAGAGTTACTATTGGTATCTCCATTTTACAGATAAGCAAACTGAGGTACAGATTTCAGATTTGCTAAAAATTTGGCTAGAGACTGAACTCTCAGCTGCTCAACTGCCTATGTCTGGTCTGTGAGTAGGATGACTAAAAATGTTTTGGTCATGTCTAGGGACTTAGGAAATAGAGAGGGGACATTACTAAGAAACATGAGTCAACAGGCTTAGGGAGTGAGTGGTTAAGAACCTGAACTAATATGGAGTCACATCCTTGGGTTTAAATCTTGGCTTTGTCACAGTGTGACCTTGAACTGATTCCTTAATTTATCTTTCCATGGTGTTCTCAAAGTAAAATGGGAACATTGATGATATAACGAAGCACATAGAGAAATTATGAGCAGGAAGAGGAATAGTTTTGCTGTATATTAGGTGGCCTTGACGAAAGTGGCAGATTCGTGCAGGGAAGGGAGTAGGCATTTCCCTGACAGCCACCTTCATCCCCGCTGCCGACAGCCAGGGCAGGGAGAGGAGGGAGTCTCAGTCTCATCTGCGTCCTCAGTTGTCCGGACTGCTGTTCACACTGGAGTCCTCTGCAAACACTTGCTAAATTCAACTCACCTGCACGTCATGACTCAACATGAAAATAGAGAGTTAGAGAAAGTTCTTCACATGTCTTTCCTTGGCTTTTAAATATCACATCTGTGTCCACGTTGTCTGTCTTTTCTGACTCCTTTATTTTATGTCACATTTTTAAAAACAATTCTCTTTTCTATTGGCTTCTCCTTCCTCTTCAAAATTTCCAGATTTTCTCAGGGGCCAATTCTCCATTTTACTTCCTATGCCTCCTACTGTAGCAACTTCAGCATCTTAAGAAAGTCTACTCAGTAAAATTCATTGGTACAAAATGGCTACAGATTTAGACAAATATGTAGTAAAGAGTTTCTGATTTTGGCTTGAAACTCCCAGAACTGTGAGCCAAAATAAACCTGTTCTCTTTATCTGAGGACATTTCAAGTATTTCATTTTAGTAACAGAAAGATGGTTAATGCCCCCTCAAATAAAAAAAGTGAAGCATAACAGCTAAAACATTTTTCAAAGTATAGGCTTCAAAAAGTTAAGATTGTGACTTTCACAGCATACAGAATCAAGATACATTAAACTTGCCTACTCATTTATGGCGGAATTAGTAAAATGTTAATTTTGGTTTAAAAAGTATTTGAAGCACTGAGTATAAGTATTTTAAAAAGAATATTAGATTGATAGTTTAGAACTGAGAGTGGTTAATGTTCTACAGGGTAATAAAAAAACAGAAACTTCGGGAATATCTTTTAACTACACAAAAATTATTTGCATCTCTAACAGAGAAGATTTCCAAGTTATTATCTGAGTTCAGAAGGTTTAAGCAATTAATTTAAAGTAAATAACAATAGTAAACAAATATGTATTCTAGTAGATAATTCATTCTTGGCTAAATCTGTCAATACCTGTCTGAGTCCATTTTCTGTAACTATAATGTAATATCTGATGTTAGGGAAACATACAAAGAAAAGAGTTTTTTTATTTAGCTATTTTGGAGGTACAAGACCATGGTACTTGTAGCTGCTGATATCTGGTGAGGACTTTCTGGCTATGTCACAACATATGGCAGGGAGCACCATAATGGTGGAGCCATGTGCAGGACAGATCACATGGTTAGATAGGAAGCCAGACTATCAGGGCTGCTCTTGTAACAACCTGCGCTCACAAGCGCTAATTCACTCCTGGCACCAGGATTACTCTGTGCTGACGCTGACGGTGATGGTCTCTTGACTTAATTACCTTCTGTTATACGCACATCTTCAAAGTCTCACCATCCCAACACTGCCACACTGAGGACCAGTCATCTAGCACCCAGACTTTTGGGATGCACACTCTTACCTTATCCAAACCATGGCAGTATCCCAGTATGGCACTGAAAAAGATGCTGTCCATTTTTTGGCCTTAATTCTTAGTTATAAATATTTTTGTAAATGCTTATTCAGGAAATGCAGTCATCCCTCTGTGTTGGGGCTGTGCTGGGGGATGTTCCAGCCTCTGGTACCAAAATCCAGATGCTGAAGTCTCTTATTTCAAGTGTGTAATATTTGCATATAACCTGCTCACACTGTCCCTTAAATCATCTCCACACTGTGGATAAAACCTGATACGATGTAAATGATATGTAAATAGCTGTTGTACTGTAGAGTTTAGAGAACCATCATAACATGGAAAAGATCTGTTTATGTTCTGTACGATCTACTTTTTGGATATTTTTGATCTGCAGTTGGTTGAATCCACAGATGTGGAAACCACAGATACAGAGGGCCACCTGTATTCATTGAGCTACTATTATGTCCTGCAAACTCTTCTAGAGCCTGGGGATATAGCAGTGAACATAGCATACTAAAATTCTTTGAGTTTATGTCACTTGTATTCTCATGGGGAGATAGATATTGAAGAAAGCAAGAGAAAGTGCTGAAGAGGGTAGAAGGGTATTTAAGATTTTAAGTATGGTCGTAAAATAAGGAAGGCTTCCCTGGAAGATAATAATGCAGCAAAGGCATACAAAGGCAGAGTGGAACCTAGAAATACCTGGGAAGAGCATTCTATGTAAAGAGAGAAGCATGTGCAAAGGCCCCGAGAACAGCAAGGATGCCAGTATGGGGGAAGTTTCTCTTGTAGAAAATTTGAAGCATACACAGCCTAGAGAAAATAATATAACCCACCCCCCCCTTACTATTTATGAATATTCTGCTGTTCTTATTTCACCCACTTCCTCACTGTTCGCCCCCTAAAGTACTTTAAAGCAAAATTCAGGCTTCATATCATCTTATCTGTAAATCTTTCTATCTGTATTTCAAACAAAAAAATATTAAAAACACAACTATAATACCATTCTTTGATATCACCCAAAGTTCACCCATACCTTATTCAACTTTCCATGATTTTCTTTAAAATACAGTTTTACGATTGATTTATTTGAAGTGAGTCACGTTACAGATATGCATCTCAAGTTTCCTCTAACTTATAACCATTTCTCTCCTCCTTTTAATAATGGTTATGAATTTGCTGAACAGGCTGGACAATTTGTCTTGCAGAATTTCCCTGCTTTTGGGTTTGGCTGATCACATCTTCGTGGTGTTATTTAACTTGCTCCTCTGTTCCTTCATGGCTGTAAACAGAGCCCTGGTGAGAGTCAGGCAGAACTGGGGTGAAGCAGGAACACTTCACAGAGGTCACTGTGTCATTCCTTCAGCATCACATTATGAGGGCCAAAATGTTACTGCATCCCACGTTTTGGGAGATTATCAGGTTGGGTGTTACGTGCCTGAGCCATCCATTGGAAAGTTTCAGGGCCACTTTTCATTCAAATAGATTGGCAACCTTTGATGAT